CCCTTAAATTAAGTACCTTTTGTTGCATGGGTCATGATGAGATTAAGAATTATAATTTTATGTTGTGACATGTTCCTTAGGGTAAAAGCTGGGGTATTTTACGGATCAATGCCTTCTTTCTAAATTTGTGTTGAGGCTTGGGTTATAAGTTTATACTCTAATTATAAGTTTATGTTGTGCGCAGCGGAACTCGAAACACACGAAAGAGCATGAGCAAGAACAAGATAGGTCACAACCAATAAGTAAAACACAATCACAACAGCAAGACAAACGAATTTTACGTGGTTTAACAAGTTGCCTACGTCCATGGGGCAAGTAGGGGGGAGTTTTTACTATTAGAGATAAAGAGAATATAAATAGGGTTTACAATCTCACCAAAAACCCTCAAACAAAGCACTTAAAATCTCTCACAAATTCTCCCTCAAAGGATGCACAATTTTCTCTCAAAAGCTGCTCAAAGTCTTCCTTCATAAACCCTAATAATCATGATTAAGGTTATATATCAACACAAAACGAAACGGGTCAGAAAACATAACCCAGACTCAGACCCGACTGGAGGTTGACCGCCGAATTCGTCACGGTCGACTGCCCAGGAATCGACAGAAAACAAATCGATTACAGGGTCTCTGTGGTCGACCGAAACCAACGACAGAACATAAATCAATTACAGGATCTCTGCGGTTGACTGCTGCAGTCAACCGAACTCAACTCCAGAATCTGTCTTCGACCTGTGCACGTTTCCGGTCGATCGGACTTGATCCGCGGTCGACCGGCAAGTGTCCAAAAGCTTGCCTGAGTCCGTTTTCCTGATCTTCAAATCCGTGTTAGCCATTTCTATAAATCTCCACATCGGTGAAGTTTCTCCCAAAACTGAGCCGACACCAAAACATGCAAATATCCCACTTGTTGCGTCCAGTACGAAGTGGAATAAATCCACGACAACATACTCAATTCACAACAAGTCGGGAACCTAAACGAGAGTTCAAACAATCTCCCCTCACTAATATTAACTAATCCACCGGCTGCATCAAAAAACTACCTACGTATCCTCGTGCCCAATGAATCAAGCCGAACGTAGTTCACACAAATGACCTCCAAAGGCCCTCAACATCGAAGAATGTTCAATAAATCCAAACAATAACCAAACTTCACACCTGAGACAACTTTGGTCAACATATCCGGAGTGTTATCTTTTGTGTGGATCTTCTCCAATGTGACATCTCTATCATCCAAAACATCTCGAACAAAGTGGAATCTGACATCACTGTGCTTCATACGTGCATGATAAACCTAGTTCTTTGCCAAATAGATAGCTGACATGCTATCACAATACACCTGAATGGTCTATTGTGCAATCCTCAAGTCATCCAACAGTTCGCGCAACCACAAAGCCTCCTTCACAACTTCAGTCACCGTCACATACTCCGTCTCCGTAGTAGAGAGAGTCACCGTAGACTGAAGTGTATATCTCCAACACACTGATGCTCCTGCCAATATAAATATATATCTTGAAGTAGACCGATACTTATCAAGATCCCCCGCATAATCAGAATCCACGTATCCAACACAATCCTGCCTAATCTTTTTATTCTTCTGAAATATCAAACCAACATCCACAGTACCTTTGATATACCATAGAATCCACTTCACGGTCTCCTAATGACCCTTCTTGGGATCGTGTATGTACCTAGATACTATGCTCACGGTCTGTGATAAATCTGACATCATACACACCATCGCATATATCAAGCTACCTACCGCATTGGCATATGAAATATTTGACATATACTCTCTATCCTCAACCGAAATAGGTAAAATCTTAGCTTAAAGCTTAAAGTATGAAGCCAATGGAGTGCTCACTGCCTTAGCATTGTCATCAAAGCTAAATTTCTTCAACATCTTCTGCAAGTAACTCATCTGTGTAAGCTTTAATCTCCTCTTCACCCTATCTCTCTCGTATTCCATACCCAATATCTTCTTAGCTTCTCCAAGATCCTTTATCTCAAACTCGCATGACAACTTCTTTTTCAACTTTCGAATAGCCGAATAATTCTTGGAAATAATAAACATATCATTAACATATAACAACAAATAAATATACTCATAATCTTATAGCTTGTGCATGTAAATACATGAGTCATATAGGCTCCTCGTGTATCCTTGGCCAATTATAAAACTGTCGAATCTCTTGTACCATTGTCGCGGTGATTGCTTCAATCCGTAAAGAAGTTTTTTCAGCTTGCACATCAAATCCTCTTTTCCTGCAGCTTTAAACCCTATGTGTTATGTCATGTAGATCTTCTCTTCTAAGTCTCCATGTAGAAAGACTGTTTTAACATTCATCTGGACCAAATCCAAATCCATCTGTGTCACAAATGGCAAAAGAATCCTAATCGACGAATGCTTCACAACGGGTGAGAAAACCTCGTTGTAATCAACACCCTCAAGCTGGGCATACCCCTTAGCAACCAATCTGGCTTTGTACCGATGTCCCTAATAGAATATCACTATTTCTTTGCATATACCCACTTGCATTCAATAGTCTTCTTTTCCTTTGGTAGCTTTGTAAGTTCCTAAGTATCGTTTTTCTGAAGAGAATGCATCTCCTTTTCCATAGCTTCCCTCTACCTGATCGAATCAGAGCTAGCTCTGTCTCCCTATATGTAGAAGGAATCAAATCATTAACGATCTCCACTGGTAAAGCATATGCAACCAACACATCATTGTATCTAGTTGGCCGACGAATCACCTTTCTAGGTCTATTTGCTACAATTGACTCCTGAACATGACCCTGCTCCTGAGTCTCACCATCCATTGTATCCTCCAATTACCCGTCTGTTATCCTATCTTCTCCCAATGTCATCTTTGTAGGAGCCTTAATGGATACAATGCTATCTAGAGTAGGTGGAGTCACATCATCTTCTACCTGTTGTAATATACTACTAGTCTGGTCTTCCTCCACCTACTGAGAGACTTGAGGTTTCATCATGTACGTCTCATTAAACATGACATCTCTGCTAATGACTATCTTTTTGTCTTGTGGATCCTACAATTTGAAGCTTTTAACTCCTTTAAAGCCCATAAAGACTGCTTTCCTCGCCTTCAGATTTAATTTTTTATCATTGATATGATAATAAGCTGGACACCCGAATATTCGAAATAACTCAAAACTAGCCACCGAACTAGACCATAGCTCTATAGGAGTCTTCCACTGTATCGTAGTGTACGGTAACCTATTAACGAGATGACTCGTATAAACCAATGTCTCGGTCCAAAAGGATCTAGGCAATCCACTCTGTGATATCATACATCGCACCTTCTCTAGTAAGGTACGATTTAATCTTTCCGCCATCCCATTTTATTACGATGTCTCTCTAACTGTGAAGTGTCGCCTAATGTCGTGATCTCGATAAAACTGCAGAAATTAATCACTCTTATACTCTTCACCGTTATCTGAACGAAGTGTCTTCATCTTTCTATCTGTCCGCAGCTCCACTTTCTTCTTTCACTCCATGAAAATATCCAGGACCTCATGTTTATGCTTTATGGTATATACTCAATTTCTACTGGAATAGTCATCAATGAAAGTAATAAAATAGTTGGTCCCACTAAGTGATATGTGCTTTGGAAGGGCCCCAAACATCTGTGTGAATATAATCTAATATACCTTGGGTGTTGTGAATTGCGATGCCAAACTCACTTTAGGGTTCTTCTCAAGTGCATAATGCTCACACAGTTTCATCTTACAGGCCTTTACACTTTAGCCTATGTTTCGCTAATATCTGTAGGGACTTATCACCAGTGTATCCTAATCTAATGTGCTATAAGCTGATAGTATCCTCCTTTGTAGTGATAGAAGCTATCAGACCCCCTATAATTGTCTTGCCCTTCAAGTAATATATGTTATTTTTTCTGACACCTCGTATCACCATCATAGAACTTTTTATGACCTTCAAAGTAGCATTCTCTAATATCACCCGATAACCTGCTGTCTCCAAAGTCCCAAGAGAAATAATGTTATTCGTTAACTTTGGAACGAACTTCACTTCCTTCAGCTCCCTAGTCACCCCGTCACACATCTTGATTCGGACTATACCAATACCACCAATAGGACATACGTGATCATTACCCATAAGCACGACATCCCATCTTTTTAACTCCTCAAAGCTAAAAAACCAATCCCTCCTAGAAAAAATATGATATGTAGCTCCCGAATCTAATATCAATTTCGTAGAGTTGACATACTAAACTGACGGTAGTACAAAGCAAGAATAGTTCAAAAAATCCGAATCTGAATTGTCACAAACAGCCTTGGCAACATTCATCTCTGGAGCTTGTACAGTTTTTCCCTTATTCTTCCCGGCTTTATCCTTTAACTTTAGGTATTCGTTCTTCCAATGTCCATTTTTTTCAAAAGGCACATTAATTTTTACTAACACTCTTATGATCACCTCTATTCTTCGACTTTGAGCGGTTGAATTTGCGACGGTTTGGACTATGGCCTCGAACTGCTAATGCATCTCCCGATGTCTTCTCGGAGGGTTTGTCATCATTTTTTCTCAACTCATAGTTCACCAATGCTGAGGTCATCTCTTTGTAGCTAACAGTAGTTCTTCCATTGATCATAGTGAGAACAAATGTGTCATAATCATCCTTCGGCAACGAACACAATAGTAACATTGTCTTATCTTCATCCTCAACTATGATGTCCATATTTGTCATATCCGAAAACAACTTCGTGAAGTTATTGACATGCTCCCTAATGGAAACCCCCTCTTTATCTTGAATTGATAAAACTTCTTTTTCAAGTGAAACCGATTCTCAATGCTTTTCGTAAGATACTTCTTATTAAGTATTTCCCACAATCTCTTTGCCGACGTCTCGTTCATCACATCATAAATCTAATCCGACATCAAGCATGACCGAATAAACCCACAAACCCTACTGTTCATCTTCTTCCAAACCTTATCCTTCATGTCTTCAGATTCCTCTTGTAATTCAAGAGTCTTCTTTAAATTCTGGGCATCCAACGTATCCATCACCTGACACCTCCACAAACTAAAAGTATTCTTGCCATCGAACTTCAGAATATCAATCTTAGTGTTATTGATGCTCAGACTCTGTATCGCATTCGTAAGAGATAATCCCGATGTGTTTGCTTCACCTATGTTGACGATCTAACTCTTCAAATAAGAATCCTTCAGAGAATCCTCCAAACAAGCCACAAGCCAAACTCGAAGGTCTGATACCACTTGTTGTGCGCAGCGGAACTCGAAACACATGAAAGAGCACGAACAAGAATGAGATAGATCACAACTAATAAGTAAAACACAATCACTACAACAAGACAAACGAATTTTACGTGGTTCGACAAGTTGCTTATGTCCACGAGGTAAGTTGGAGGGAGTTTTTACTATTAGAGATAAAAGAGAATATAAATAGGGCTTACAATCTCACCAAAAACCCTCAAACAAAGCTCTTAAAATCTCTCACAAATTCTTCCTCAAAGAATGCATAATTCTCTCTCAAAAGCTGCTCAAAGTCTTCCTTCATAAACCCTGATAATCGTGATTAAGGTTATATATCAACACAAAACGAAACGGGTTAGAAAACATAACCCAGACTCAGACCCGACTGGCGGTCGACCGTCGAATTCGTCGCGGTCGACCGTCTAGGAATCGACAGAAAACAAATCAATTACAGGGTCTCTGCGGTCGACCGTTGTGGTCGACCGAAACCAACGACAGAACATAAATCAATTATAGGGTCTCTGCGGTCGACTGCTGCAGTCGACCGAACTCAACTCCAGAATCTGCCTTCGACCTGTGCACGTTTCCGATAGACCAGACTTGATCCGCAGTCGACCGGCAAGTGTCCAAAAGCTTGCCTGAGTCGTTTTTCCTGATCTTCAAAGCTAGTGTTAGCCATTTCTATAGTTTATACTCTAGCAGCAGTCATATAAAGTTCAACCAAGATGTTGGATAAAGGCACCAATATTGAACAACAGGTAATCATTTTGTGCATTTTTTTCTGTGCATGTTCAGAGAGCACATACTTTAAGAACATAAGAAGTTCAACCAAGATTTTGGATAAAGGTACCAGTATTAGAACATAAGTAGTCCAACTGTGATTGTGGACAGAGGCACCAGTACTGAACAATAGGTAACCAAGTTGTAATTTTGCTTTCATGTTCATGGCAACAATTTTAGAAAGACAGTCGTAAAGTATGAATAAGTGAAGGCAGTGAAATCCGAGAGAGAGCTAAAATTTCTTTTGACTCAACAAGAAAATACCTGCGGAGGTACTGGCAGCAGGGCCTGCTGATGAACCGGTTGAAAACTCTGCGATATTCCAAGGGTTTCGAGTCCTTCCCCCAAACCAGATATCATCATAGGCCAGAGATCCTGAAACAAGTTTCGCTACAAGAACTGCACCTGCAAACTTTAGCCTGGCACAGAATTAACTATTAGAAATAAAAGATGATTAAATTCGAAAAACTGAAGGATCAAAAATGCATTTGTGAATGTTCAAGATGTGCACCTTTTGTAGACCCAAGCTTCAATGTTAAGAACTTGGTTTCTGAATGTTTTCGAGCCCCAAGTGGTCTTGTAATGAGGAACAGCTATGATATCTTTCAACCCATATGGGATTCCATGAAGAGGACCTGCAACCCATAACAGAAATTAGAAGACTCATATGAAAGAAATGTGAATGTGGGTGCAGGTGAACGCGGTTTCACAACCGCGTGAGTGGACACGGACGGGAGAAAAGCCCACGAAGGCCCAACATCACGTTTATATATAAACGTTGATTTTTCCTAGGTTTTGTGAGCAGGAGGTTGCTTTTTTCTTTTCTCTTTGCGGCTGCGTAAGGTTTTGGAGCAGAGAGCGCACGGAACATTTGTGGCGGCTACAGTTCGCGTGCAAGAGGGCAGCTTTGTTTCTTTTCTTCTTTGCGGCTGAGGCAGAGGGAAAGGTGCAGGAGGTTGATTGTTTGCGGCTACAGGAGAGCAAGTTGCGGCTACAGAGAAGGTGCAAAAGAAAAAGCATTAGCTTTTGTTAGGGTTTGTGCATCCTTTTGTAGAGAGGTATTTGTGAGGGATTTGAGAGTTTGTTTGAGGGTTTAGATTGAGAGTGATTGTAAACCCTAGTTGTATTCTCTCCCTCTATTAGTAGATCTCCCCCCTCCTTGCCCCGTGGACGTAGGCAATTTGTCGAACCACGTAAAAATTGGTTGTACTGCTTTTGTGTGATTTGTAATAGCTTTTAGGGTCCCTCGACGCGCAGTCCTAGAGCTGACGAGAGGAAGAGCTAATATCCTACTTTGATAGGATATAGGCTTCAGATTCTTGTTCCCTTTGAGAAACAAGAATTCTTATTGCGACCTGACTCTCTTGTTGTGCTGCCGAAGTGCTGCCGAAATTTCCGCTGCGCGCAACAAGTGGTATCAGAGCCCAGATTTCAGATCTAGGGTTTTTTGGTGGAGGAAGATTCTTGTGTGAAGCTTAGTTCTTGGAGTTCTCGGCTTCGGTGGAGATAGCATTAGGAGTTGCCGTTGGAGATTTCGCTTTCCTCGTGTGGATAGGAGATCTATTTGGAATCCGATCTAGGGTTCAGTTGGGTGGTTCCTAATTCTATCAAATTTGTTCTTTCTCTACAATTTGGAGTTAGTTCGCAATGGGAGAAGAAGGTGAAAGCAGCAAATCGATGGCGGGTACAATACAAGTTGGTTTTCAAAACACCAAAATTAGTGTGGTGAAATATGACGGAAAAATCAACTTTGGTTTGTGGATGAGCGACGTACAGGATGCGTTAAATGCTCAGAATTTGGAAGAGACCATCATGGTCCACGAGAGGCCACCTAAATATGAAGAGGCGGTATGGGAGAAAATGAATAGGAACGCTTGTGGGGTGATCAGGTCCTGTTTGGAACAGGAGCTGAAGTATGATGTGATTGGGGTGACGTCTGCGATGAAGATGTGGGAAATTCTCAACAATAAGTACCTTACGAAGAGTGTTGAGAACCGATTGCACTTGCTGCGTAGGTTATTCAGATTCCAGATGTCCAGAGGCACCTCGCTTGCGGCTCATGTGAACAACTATACGAAGTTGTTGTCGGACTTGGCGAATGTTGATGAGAAGATATCGGATGAGTACAAGGCGATTATTTTGTTGGGCTCCTTACCGGATGAGGAGTATGATACCTTCGTGCTCACTTTGTTGAACGGGAGATCTTCTATCAGTTATAGTGAAGTGACTAACGCATTGACCAACTATGATTTGAGGAGGAAGGACAAGGAGACTTCCCGCGCTAGTACTTCAGGAGAGGCCTTGTCGACAAGAGGTAGAAGCCCATATCCGAAAGGTGGTAACAGAGGGAGGTCAAAGTCTAGAGGCCGCCACCAATTAACAAAGAACCAATGTGCATTCTGCAAGGAGCAGGGACATTGGAAGAGAGACTGCCCGAAGCTCAAAGAGAAGGAGAATAGCAAGAAAAAGGGCCCGAAGGCCAATGAGGTGAACATTGCGAAAGGCGATGATTCCGATGATTCGTGCTTTTCTCTACTGATTACTCCGGAGGTGAACCATGTGGATGCATCAGATTGGATGCTTGATTCCGGCGCTACCTTTCATGTGACCCCTAGGCGAGACTGGTTTGCATCTTTTGAGAAAGTCGACGGGGGCGTTGTTGTCATGGGAAATGATCAATCCTGTGGCGTTTGTGGGATAGGTACCGTACGGATTAGGATGCACGATGGAGTAGTCCGTGAGTTGAAGGAGGTGAGATTTGTTCCTCAACTGAAGAAAAATCTTATCTCAGTTGGAGCTTTGGAGGCGAAGGGATTCAAGGTGACTTTCGAAAACGCTGTAGCGAAGGTTACTAAGGGATCATTGGTGGTGATGAGGGGAGTCCGCAATCGGAATTTGTATTATCTGAAGGGAAGCACCGAGATTGGCCAGGTTGCTTCGGCTATTTCAGAAGCGGACATGAGCAGACTTTGGCACTATAGATTGGGGCACACAGGTGAAAAGTCACTGCAGGCATTGTGCAAGCAGGGGCTATTGAAGGGAGCCAAGAGTGGGAAGATTGAGTTCTGTGAGCACTGTGTTCTTGGCAAGAAGACGAAGGTGAAGTTCGGGACTGCCATTCATCAGACGAGGGGCATCCTGGATTACGTGCACACAGACGTTTGGGGTCCCACCAAGACTGCATCACTTGGTGGTAGACATTGGTTCGTCACTTTTGTAGATGACTATTCTAGGCGTTGTTGGGTGTACACCATGACGAAGAAGAGTGAAGTCCTAGATTTGTTTGTGGAGTGGAAAAAGAGATTAGAACTGCAGACTGGGAGAAAGATCAAGACGTTGCGATCCGACAACGGTGGTGAGTATACTTCTGACCCCTTTCAGCAGCTATGTCGAGACGAGGGCATAGAGAGACACTTCACAGTTAGTCATACACCGCAGCAAAATGGGGTGGCAGAGAGGTTGAATCGGTCTTTACTGGAGAAGATCCGATGCTTATTGTCGCAGAGTGGTTTGGAGAAGATCTTTTGGGCTGAGGCACTTACGTATGCGAGCCACCTCATTAATAGGCTGCCTTCATCTGCGATTGAGGGGAAAACCCCTATGGAGAAGTGGTCGGGAAAGCCAGCACATGACTATGACCAGCTCAAGGTATTCGGGTGCCCTGCATATTATCATGTTAGAACTGATAAGTTGGAACCTCGAGCTAGGAAGGCCATATTTGTAGGATTCAAGCGTGGTGTCAAGGGATACAAGCTTTGGGATCCAGTGGATAAGAAGATTGTGCTGAGTAGGGACGTCACATTCGATGAGGCTTCTATCTTGAAGCTTCCCAGCTCTCATCAGGTGGAGAGCGACCCGACGGAGGAGATATCCCAGGTGGTGGAGATCGATGCAGCTCCACATTGTCCAGATAGTACAGTATCCATGCAGGTGCCGACTGAGGTGACGCCAGGCGAGCACGACGGTGACACGGAGGATACGGGTACAAATGTGCAGGATCAGAAATCGACGGCTCAGGTTCAGGATCCTATTGCGGTTCGGAGACAGAGGAGAAACATACAGATGCCAGCACGGTATGCCGACACAGTTGCGTATGCACTTCCGGTGGAGAGTATCAATGAGTTAGTACCTACTACTTTCAGAGAGGCCGAGCAGAGTTCGGAGGCTGATTCGTGGCAGGTGGCTATGCAGGAGGAGATGGAATCTCTTCATAAGAACGATACATGGGAGCTTGTTGAGCTTCCAAAGGGGCGGAAGGCAATTGGTTGCAAGTGGGTATACACGAAGAAGGAGGGCATTGAAGGCACTCCGTTGAGATTGTATTGACTATAATGAGGTTTTCTCTCCGGTGGTGAAGCACTCTTCGATTCGGATTTTGCTAGCTTTGGTGGTACAGTATGGTTTGGAATTAGATCAGTTGGATGTGAAAACGGCATTTCTTCATGGTGATCTTGATGAAGAAATATATATGACTCAGCCATTGGGATTCCGAGCTGCAGGGAAAGATAAGTTGGTTTGCAGACTGAAGAAATCGCTATACGGTTTGAAGCAGTCTCCTCGACAGTGGTATAGGCGATTCGATGGTTTTATGATTGGTCATTCGTACACTCGGAGCCAGTTTGATCCTTACGTATATTTTCGCAAGTTAAAAGGAGGTGCGTACATCTATTTGTTACTTTATGTCGATGACATGTTGGTTGCCTCTACTTCCAGGTCGGCTATAGATGAGTTGAAAGTTCAGCTTTCAAATGAATTTGAGATGAAGGACTTGGGTGAGGCCAAACGCATTTTGGGAATGGAGATCGGCAGAGACAAGAAGAAGGGCAGAATTTGTTTGACACAGGTGGCTTATTTGAAGAAGGTTCTACAGCGATTCCATGTTAGCATGGATACGAAGCCAGTTAGTGTACCATTGGGAGCCCATTTGAAGCTTTCAGCTGGTCTTTCACCGAAGTCAGTTGAAGATCGTGAGTTGATGTCGAAGACTCCATATGCGAGCGCGGTTGGGAGCTTGATGTACGCGATGGTATGTACGAGGCCAGATTTGTCACAGGCGGTAAGCATGGTATCGAGATACATGCACGATCCAGGAGTGGGTCATTGGGACGCCGTGAAATGGATTTTGAGGTACATTCGAGGTACGCTCAATGTTGGTTTGGTTTATGAGCGGGACACTAAAGGTGGGCAGTTATGCATTGGTTATGTTGATTCGGATTATGCCGGGGATTTGGATAAGCGCCGGTCTACGACGGGGTATGGATATGCTCACTAAGGTGGTTCTGAGCAACAAGTTTGATCATTGTAGAAGCTTGTTTCACATTCGTGATTGTTGAGGCCGTTGGCGGCCATTTGGGTGAACTACGTTCGGCTTGATTCCTTGGGCAAGAGGATACGAAGGCAGTCTTTCAGATGCAGCCGGTTTGGATTAGTTGATGGGGTGAGATTGTTTTGGACTCTCGTTTGGGTTCTCGACTTGTTGTGAATTGAGTTCGTACTAGACACAACGAGTGGGACATTTGGATGCTTTGGTGTCGGCTCAGTTTTGAGAAAACTTCACCGAGGTGGAGAATTGTGAATGTGGGTGCAGGTGAACGCGGTTTCACAACCGCGTGAGTGGACACGGACGGGAGAAAAGCCCACGAAGGCCCAACATCACGTTTATATATAAACGTTGATTTTTCCTAGGTTTTGTGAGCAGGAGGTTGCTTTTTTCTTTTCTCTTTGCGGCTGCGTAAGGTTTTGGAGCAGAGAGCGCACGGAACATTTGTCATCTTTGTTTCCTTTCTCTTTTGTGGCTGAGGCAGAGGGAAAAGTTGCGGCTACAGGAGATTGTTTGCGGGGTTGATTGTTTGCGGCTACAGGAGAGCAAGTTGCGGCTACAGAGAAGGTGCAAAAGAAAAAGCATTAGCTTTTGTTAGGGTTTGTGCATCCTTTTGTAGAGAGGTATTTGTGAGGGATTTGAGAGTTTGTTTGAGGGTTTAGATTGAGAGTGATTGTAAACCCTAGTTGTATTCTCTCCCTCTATTAGTAGATCTCCCCCCTCCTTGCCCCGTGGACGTAGGCAATTTGCCGAACCACGTAAAAATTGGTTGTACTGCTTTTGTGTGATTTGTAATAGTTTTTAGGATCCCTCGACAGGTCAGTCCTAGAACTGATGAGAGGAAGAGCCGATATCTCACTTGGTTGAGATATCCGCTTCAGATTCTTGTCTCCTTGGTGAGACGGGAATTCTTATTGCGATCTGACTCTCTTGTTGTGCTGCCGAAGTGCTGCCGAAATTTCCGTTGCGCGCAACAAGAAAGTAGAAAATGAATATAAATTCATGTTCAAAGTAGTAAAAATTGCAAAACTTGAGAATGCATCATTTGGTGACGAGCATTCATTTAAGAAGTAGATAATGAATAGAAAATTCAGATGTTACCTAGATAAATTCCTTGGTCACTCAACTTATCTGCTTCTTTTGCCTGAGCATATGCTAACTCTTCAGTATATGTTATCACAGCTTCAAGTACATGATTGTACCTAACGATTCCCATTAAGATATAGAATAAAATTTTCATGGTCAAACTTGGTACTACCTCAACAATACCTCTTTGATCATGGTTTATAAAGCAATTTGTTAGCCAAATGATAGTCAACTAAAAAAAATTCAGAATCTCAATCGTACCTCTTTAATCTTCGAAGGAAAATATTAGTCAGCTCCAAAGAAGTGATTTGCTTAGTTCTAATAAGTGATCCTAATTCAAGTATCTGGAAAAAAGAAGTTAATGACATGCTTGATACTTTCCTATGATAAAACAGAGAAAATTCTCTTTGAAATAGATTTAGGATTTAACTGTGAAAATAGAAATTATTTACCGACATAAAGGCGATGTCCTCTTCTTTCTTTGGCCTTTTCACTCCTTTAAGTAAAGGATAATTAAATCTTTCAATATCCACCGGAGCTTCATTGCTGCCCCAGGATGCATTGAATACTAAAACTGATGGATTATGCAGGCCTCCATCTTCATAAGCAACCATTTTTTGATTCTCTCTGAAGACGGGTATGTTGAACTCCTTTGCACCATTTGTCATTTCTCGAATCTATTGACAGCACAAGTTAAATTGTACATCAATTTTTTTAAAAGAAATTTTGAGAAACTCAGAATTAATTACTATTTAATTAAATTCCAAAAGCTTACTTTTGAGTTGTTGAAAAAATCTTCGTCGAGGAATTTTAGTGCCTCCTTGAGCACATAAACTTGGCTAACTTTTTCTTTTTCTTTGCAAGTGATATTTTCCGCTGGAACAGTATGCTTTTTGTCCTGAAAAGTTCAATGGAATGATTAATCATCAAAATGAGAATGAAGAAAAATTGGAGCTAATAAAAGTAATTATGTATTAGACTCATCTTCTAACTGCCATGGTTAAGCAATAAGCTAATATATACTGCTATAGTTTAGATGGGTCATATGCAATTACTTAAAATCATCACAAAAATTAACAAAACACTAGATTCATCGAATTTACGAGCAACGTGATTCTGTTGAGAAAGCTATTGGGAGAGTTTTTGTTTTAGTTTGTTTTAATCTTTGAAGAAAATACAGGAGTATATGTTGAGACACAATATTGTTCATCAAAAAACTATCATAAACCTCATCTATTTTCAAGTTCCTACTACGAAACTTAAAGTTCATGTCAGTTTTTGTAGTAATTAGTTGAAAGATACATAGAAGGATATTAAGCTTGTAAGAGAAGTGCAAAAAAAGGTCAAGAGATCAATTTACTTTAATGACTTTTTAGGGAGAAGAAGAGAGTGGTTAGTGGAAGATGATGAAATTTTCTTAATGCGAAATTTTGTGAGAAAATAAAGATTAGTCATTGTTAGTTTCTTAAAATTCAGGGTTAACTGAACTTTAATACCATAAAATTTCATCAATTTTTAAAGTTTTAAGCACTTTTAACCTTAATGCTTTCCATTACATCGCCATTCAGAATTCTGTTTAAAACAAATCACACAATTATCACATGGTAAATATTTGGACTTCTGTTTGGGAGCTCACTAGGGGAAAGGAAGGAAGGGTAAATTTATCCTTCCCTTCCCTTCCCCTCCTTTACCCCCAATTTGGGTTGTAACATGTTAGTGTAAATTTTGCTCACCTTTCCCTCCTCTAATCTCTAATAAAACTCTCAAACAAGATTAAATTCAAATTTCTCTTCTTCTTTCCTTCTCTACCCTCCATCCAAACATAGCATAAATGTGTGCCTGGTGAGGGTGAGAATTTCAGTTTCATATATCATCTTAAAGCCTCTTTTATCATTTTATATTCTAACGAAACGAATTTAAACCATTTATAGAGAAGGGGGAAAAAAAGGAAAGTAATTAATACCCAACATATAAAAAATAATATTATGTAAGATCACTTACCATATTGGAAACTAAATCAGCAGCTAGTGTTTCAGAGAAAAAAGCAGCGCCTAAAATCATGAAGAAGATGAAGTAGGGAGAAGCCAAAGGCTCCCTCTCTCTGAGACTCATGGCGCAAGAGAGGGAGAGAAGTGGAACCTGGGTGGGTGGGGGATACTAGGTTCATAAATTCATTGGTGGTTCCTGAAGTATTTAATTTTTATATTTGGATTCTGAACTGGCGGCTCTGCGTTCAATGAGGACTATGTGAGTTGTTTTTTTTTTCCTATAATGTCATTATCAGATATTAGTTTCTGGCAAAGTTTATCTTTGATATATGTTTCCTGAAATGTTCATTATCATGTCACACTCAGATATTAGTTTCTGGCAAAGTTTATCTTTGATATATGTTTCCTGAAATGTTCATTATCATGTCACATTCTTCAAATACAAAATTATTCTTTGATATATGTTTCCTGAAATGTTCATTATCATGTCACATTCTTCAAATACAAAATTATTATTATTTATTAATATCAGAGCCCTTGTAATAGTTTCCACTACGAAATATTGCTAAGAAAAGTGAAAACTTTTGAATTGAGAGGAGAGAGACGTGTGCTGTTATCAAAGAGAAGATTCAGTGGTGAAGAGAGAGCAAGTCAAAAGAGAAGAATGATTCTGGCTGATCAAAATTTACGTTATATGATAGGTGAAGTTGGTAACTTTTGAAAGGTGCCAAGTGTCCAAATACCCTCTCATCAGATTCAAGAAATTTGCAAAAAGACAGCTGATTAAAGACTTTCATTATGATATGATTTCATATTACAAACGAAAATACGGAAGAAAAGCATCTCTGCCAGTTACTAAAGACACACAACAGTGAAGGAGATGTCAACGCTTTTTACAAATTAATCTTGCACAAGATTGGCAATCATCCGATACAAATTAACCTTGACAACCTGCAGGCTCTGTAATTTGCAAGCAGAGGAAGCTCAAAGCTTCGAAGCCTAGCAATTAAATGTCGAAGAAGCTTGAAGGTCAGTAACCAAATAGAGCTTAGGTTTCTGCCACACGATTATCAAAGAAGTGAATCTGATTCCTCCAAAAGCTCAAATAGGTATATTCTTTTGATTAAACTAATAACCCCCCTTAACACAATTTTACCGAAAGACAAGTCCCAACAAGAAATTAAATATAGCTCAAACATTATAGAACGCAGTTCGTACCAAAGGCTCCCACCTTAAAAGTGTTGGGGAATTTTCGTCTCCCCGCCTACTATAATATGTGTGAACGCGGATTGATTGTGGGGGCCACCACGTGAAAATATCACATTCACGTGATGTTAACGCGTGAAGAAAAAAAAAGAAACGGGCCCACCCGATTCGATTCAAAGCTATAAATATAGCTTTGAATGTGCCCTAGGTTAGTGTGCAGGCAGAGCGCAAGGTTTTCTTGAGTGGCGGCGGATTCGTGCAAGTGCTTGAGACAGAAAACCGCAGCTTGGGAAAAACGCCGGATTCATTGAGAAAAGGGGTGTGGCGGCGTGCGGTTTGTTCTCCTAGGGTTTTGTGCTAGGCAGGAAAGGAGAAAACATCAAAGTTTTGTGCAGCCGTCTTTTAGGGTTTTAGCATCCCCTTTTGTGAGAGATTTGAGAGTTTGTGTGAGGGTTTCAGTTATGTGATTGTAAATCCTATTTGTATTCTCCCTCTCTAATAGTAGATCTTCTCCCTCCTTGCCCAGTGGACGTAGGCAATTTGCCGAATCATGTAAAATTCGTTGTCTTACTGTGATTTGTAATAGCTTGTAGGTTCCCTCGACAAGTCAGTCTTAGAACTGATGAGAGGAAGAGTGTATATCCCACTTTGTTGAGATATTGCACTTTCGATTCTTGTTTCCTTTGTGAAACAGAAATTTCGTTGTGATCTAATCTCTTGTTGTGCATCTTGCGCACCGGAGGTGCTGCCGAAATTTTTGCTGCGTACAACAAGTGGTATCAGAGCTTCAGGTTTGGCTTGAGGGTTTTTGAGGTGCTGCCGAAATTTTTGCTGCGTACAACAAGTGGTATCAGAGCTTCAGGTTTGGCTTGAGGCTTGTTCGAATGATTCGGTGAAGGAGTCCTATCTGAAGAGTTAGATCGACAACATGGAAGAAGTAAGCACATCAGGTTCGTCTCTTACGAAGGCGATACAAAATCCGAGCATCAATAACACGAAGATTGATGTTTCAAAGTTCGATGACAAGATTAATTTCGGATTGTGAAGGTGTCAGGTGATGGATGCCTTAGATGAACAGAATTTGGAGGACACTCTTGAGTTACAAGAGAAACCTGAAGACATAAAAAACAAGATTTGAAAGAATATGAATAGTAGGGCTTCTGGAGTTATTCGGTCATACTTGAGGTCGGATCTTATTTATGACGTAATGAACGAGACGTCGGCGAAGAGAATGTGGGAAACACTCAATAAGAAGTATCTTACGAAGAGCATTAAGAATCAGCTTTACTTGAAAAAGAGGTTTTACCAATTCAAGATGAAGAGGAGAGTTTTCATCAGGGAGCATGTCAACAATTTCACGAATCTACTTTCAGATATAGTCAATGTGGATATCATGATTGAGGATGAAGACAATGCGATATTATTTTTGTGTTCGTTGCTCGAGAATGATTACGGTACGTTCGTTCTCACTATGATCAATGGAAGAACTACTGTTAGCTATAAGGAGGTGACATCAGCTTTGGTGAATTATGAGTTGAGGAAGAGTGATGGTGAATCCTCTGAGAATGCATCGGAAGATGCATTAGCAGTTCGAGGCCGTGATCCAAACCGTCGCCAATTCAACTGCTCAAAGTCAAAGAATAGGAGTGCCTATAAGAGTGTTGATAGAAACCAATGTTGGTATTGTAAAGAAGAAGAACATTGGAAGATTGACTGTCCAAAGTGAAAAGAAAAAACCGAGAAGAACAAGGGAAAAGCTGTACAAGCTTCAGAAGTAAATGTTGCAAAAGCTATTGATGAACATTCAGAGTCAGATTCTTCGGGCTATTCGTGTCCTACACTACCGTCGGTTTGCTATGCTGACTCCACAGAGTGAATGTTTGATTCAGGAGACACATATCACATATGCCCTAGGAGGGATTGGTTCTCTAGCTTTGAGGAGCTAAAAAGAAGGGATGTCGTGCTTATGGGAAATGACCACATATGCCCTATTGGTGGTATTGGTTCAGTCCGGATTAGGATGCATGACGGAGTGGTGAGGGAATTGAAAGAAGTGAGGTTCGTGCCGCAGTTGACGAAGAACATCATTTCTCTTGGTACTTTGGAGGCAGCTGGTTATCAGGTGACCTTAGATGATGCTACAACGAAGGTCACGAAGGGTTCTATGATAGTGATGCGAGGAGTCAGGGAAAACTTCGTATACTACTTGAAAAGCAAGACAGTTACAGAGGGTCTGACAGCTTCTATCACTACAGAGGAGGACACTACCACATTATGGCACATGAGACTAGGACACACAGGAGATAAGTCCCTACAATCATTGGCGAAAACATAGGCTATTAAAAGGTGCTAAGACCTGTAAAATGAAGCTGTGTGAGCATTGTGTACTTGGGAAGAAGACTAGAGTGAAGTTTGGTACCGCTATTCACAACACCCAAGATACATTGGATTACATTCACACAGATGTTTGTGGTCCTTCCAAGAACACATCACTTGGTGGGGTCAGCTATTTTGTCACTTTCATTGATGATTATTCCAGGAGGAATTGGGTATACCCTATGAAGCATAAACATGAGATCATGGATATTTTTATGGAGTGGAAAAAGAAAGTGGAACTGCAAACATGTAGAAAGGTGAAGACTCTTCGTTCGGACAATGGATGTGTATAAGAGTGATCTGTTTCTGCAGTTTTGCCGGGATCACGACATTAGACAATACTTCACAGTACATGAGACACTGCAACAGAACGGGGTGGCTGAGAGATTAAACCGTACCTTGCTAGAGAATGTGCGATATATGATGATGCAGAGTGGATTGCCAAGATCCTTTTAGGCCGAGGCATTGATTTATGCGAGCTATCTCGTGAATAGGTTATCGTGCACTGCGATACAAGAAAAGACTCAGTTGGAACGTTGGTCTCGGTAGCTAGTGATTATGAGTCGCTTTGGATATTTGGGTGTCCTGCTTATTACTATGTCAGTGATGGTAAATTGAATCCAAGGGCGAGGAAAACAGTCTTTGTGGGATTTGGAGATGAAGTTAAAGGCTTCAAGTTATGGGATTCACAGGATAAGAAGATAGTTATTAGCAGGGATGTCACATTTGACGAGACGTACATGATGAAACCTCAAGTTCCTCAGCAGGTGGAGGAAGACCAGATTCGGAAGATATTACAGTAGGTGAAGGATGATGTGACTCTACTCACTTCAGAGAGCATTGTATCCATCGAGACTCCTACAGGGGTGACACTGAGAGGAGATGGGATGACAGTCGGGCAGATAGAGGATACATTGAATTGTGAGACTCATGAGCAGGGTCATGTTCAGGAGTCTATTGCAGCAAATAAACCTAGAAGGTTGATTCGTCGGCCAGCTAGGTATAATGATGTCATGATTGCATATACATTATCAATGGAGGTCGTTGATTATATGGTTCCATCCACATTCAGGGAGGCAAAGTTTAGCCCTGATTCGATCAGGTGGAGGGAAGCTATGGAGGAGGAGATGCGATCTCTTCAGAAGAACGATACTTGGGAACTTGCAAAGCTACCTAAGGGTAAGAAAGCTATTGGTTGCAAGTGGGTATATACAAATAAGAGGGATTTTCTATTAGGGATATTCGGTACAAAGCCAGATTAGTTGTCAAGGGTTATGCACAGCTTGAGGGCGTTGATTACAACGAGGTATTCTCACCTGTTGTAAAGCATTCACCGATTAGGATTCTGTTGGCATTGGTGACACAGCTGGATTTGGATTTGGTCCAGATAGATGTGAAAACAGCCTTTCTACATGAAAATTTAGAAGAGAAGATTTACATGACACAACCTATTGGGTTCAAAACTGCAGGAAAGGAAGAATTGGTGTGCAAGCTGAAGAAGTCTCTTTAAGGATTAAAGCAATCGTCGCGACAATGGTACAAAAGATTCGATGGCTTTATGATTGGTCGAGGGTACACGAGGAGCCCATATGACCCATGTGTTTACATGCAAAAGCTACAGGATGGTGAATACATCTATTTGTTATTATA